CAGGGCGGGTGGCGTGCGGTTGCGCGCTGCTGAATGCCAATGGTTCACCTTCCTGGTCTCCCTTTTCGGGAGGCGCCGCGCGCCGCGCGCAGCCTTGGAGGCGCGGGCGAGGCCTTACAATTGCCGACAGCGGGAGCACGCGGGGGGACCCGTGGTGGAATGGTCAGACTAACAAATTTCCACCTCTGCGCCCGGGGTTCGAATCCAGGTCCGTTCGTGGCGAATATGCGCTCGCGTCAGGCTTCTCGAGGTCCTTCCGTTTCTCCTACCCCTCATTCCACCCTCCGTCATCCTCTAAACCAGAGGTGTCCAACTCGCAAGGCATCAAGAGCCAAAATTAATCTTTAATATGATTGCGGGCCGTATTTACTTTAGTCGAGTAATCAACATCTGACGTAAGGATTTTCACTTTTGACTAATAACCTTTCGCAGGCCATGATAAATGGCACCGTCGGCCGCCAGTTGGACAACCCTTGTCTAAAAAATAGCAACATCGCTCATTCATGAAAACATTCATTCCTGGTAAGGCCGGGAAAACTGAGGATCACAAGGAAGATTAAAGAAGTGCCCTGATGTATCTACAAACAAATGCATACGAAGGTAAAATAAGAAATTACTGTTTTAAATTTATTTTTCATTTCAATTTTTACAAATATCTGATAAATAATTTTAATGTTTTATATACTGTTTATACTGAATTTTTTAAGCGCTTTCATTCTACATGGCGCGCTGTTAATAAATCTTTTACCCTCTTGTTTAATGCCATATTTTTGTAGATATCTCTACTGACTGATCTTTTTTTGGTGTAATGGTTTCCTTTTGATTTTTGTTCACTGCCACGGTGGTAAGTTGCGATAGTCGCGAAAGCAGGATCGCCCAGAGAAAATAAGAGGCGTAGGGCACTAAATCCACGGGACAGCGTATTTACAACGAAAGTTTCCTGACTTCCCCCAACGCTTAAATAAAATATATTTCTTCATGCCCCAGAAAAAAAAACTTACAGCGGGTAATTTGCATTATAAATAAATACATTTTTATTCCGAGTACAAAAAAGTAATTCGGGGCCTAAATGAAGTCGGCGCCTGGGGCAAGTTGCCCCTGTGGCCCTCAGTGACCCAGTGCGAAATTAATCTCTAATAATAGAAAACAGAAATAACGCGTAAATGATTATTTAATTTCGTCTTTGATAAGTGCGTGGGGTTGAGAAAGAGCCGAATAGCAGGAGAGTGCCTATGTGCCAATCTGCACAAGGCCGTTGGCGAGCGCTTGGGCGTTTCCTTACCGAACAGAGGCAGCTGCGCCGCCCTCGCCGCCGGGAGCCCCGCCGCCATCACCGCCAGCGCCGCCTGCAACACAGCGCACCCCTCATCAGACTCCTCACACAGAGCAATGCCTTGGCAGGTCCACAACTAAAATCTATATTCTCGTACAAGTTCAATTGCTAGGTCATTTTTCAACCGATGTTGGATATCAGGAATAATTCAGACTTCAAAAAGCTTAACAATTCATTTTTTTAATTTAAAGCAAAACCAGCTAAAAACTGTGTAACGTACTGTAGGGTTCAATTTGTGCACGATTACACATATTAAGTTAAATTTAGAATGCAGGCCGGCCGGGAAATTTCCAGGCCTAAGTCGTGAAAGCAAGCATGTAATATTAAACACAAGACACATATACCTAATGAAACCAAGAATTAGAAACGCTAAAAAATAAAAAGTGATGGACCAAATGTGATTTTGAATGTAGTGGAAGTATAGGTAATTGCACTCCGTTTGTAATAATACGCTATCTTCCTGATGACGATGCAATGGTCATTATGAAGTAAGTAGCGAACTAGGTATATTTAAGTCGGAGGTGAGTGTGCAAAAAATATTTTCTGCACCTCGTCCACGAAGGGTTGTTTTCGAACTCAAAAATTTATCAACTTCACTCCAAATGTATCACTTCACGGTCTTGATATATAATCTATTATATTATATCAAGACTATTAAACTTGACATAACCGATTATTTTTGTACACTCATTCTTTAAGCATCCATTTGTGTACTGTTAATTGACCGTAAAGTTGAGGTTTCACGGAGCCAAAACTTTTTACCGCACTAGCTCGGTGAACGTGAGCAGATGCGATGCGCAGAAATACACAGCGCTCCATGCAATACTTAAGGCAATAACGATGCGTTTTAATTTTTTTTAAATTTCTTTATTTCTCTCCTGTTCACCAAATCATGCTTTTCAGGGAGTTGACTGGTATATCAAACACATTACATTTTGGATTTTTATCCTAATTTTTGCTAATTATATTTTAGTTCATTGTAACCTTTGCCTGATGGTAATTATACATGTATTTTATTTATAACGATGCTTGATGACCAATGAACATAAAACAATGATTTAGGGACAGCCTACCCTTAGATTGCAGAACAAAAATAATTATGTACGTCGTTTATTTAGCCAGCCGAAAGAAAGTATTCATACTCGCTTTATTACAGGACAAAAATGGCCACTTTAAGAGGTAAGTGAACAAAAAAACATTGCGCAGAACCACCTATGCGAACAGACACGAGACAGGGAATATGCAATCAAATTTTTTTTAAAAATTGTATTTTTATTCTGGAAATATACAAATACATATCCTGGAAATTACAAAGTTCAGTTAATGTTCAACTTAACATTTGCATTTACTGACTTACAATCTAACTTAATCTAATTTATTGTTTTGTTTGGTCATTTACCAATCTTGTTCGAGGATTTGACACTTAACTACCATTTGCACTACGCAAGTCTTTATATCCATTTACAGACTACACAGAGATGCCGAGATGCCCTAAGTCGGGGAATAACGGTACGAAACTACTTCACTTTCCGTGAGCATGGCGAAACGGCATGCCTGCTGTCACTTGAACTTCTGCAAGACGAGTCAAGAGAAAGGCGTCTACCTTGGCGATGACTCCTCGACGGTCGATTGATTGATAGTTAGCGATTACGGGCGCGTTAACTATTAGGGTAATTAGTCCCGTAAGTGTAGTGCGTCTATTTTTTTCTTGTGAGGCAGCAGTGGCCTTCCCCATTGTAAGGCGAGATCCGGCGCCGAGCTACCAACGGCTAGTGGGGGTTTTCCCCAACCAGGTATCTCCCACCACCAGGACACCGCCCCAGCGTAAAATCACGCCCGGTCACCCGGCACGTGTGGTAGTGTAATGCAAGATAGTGTAGGTGTGTGTAAGGGGTGACGACGGGGCAAGGAAGAGGTAGGAAAGATCGCGTGCGTTCTGTGGCCCAGTTGTTACGGTACTGCTCCGGCGTTCGCCTTGTGTTGATCGGAAAACAACGGAAAACTACTGATCAAAGCTGACAGACGCAAGAATTCTTCTCCAGACAGCGACCTCGCTGACAAGCTAGTGTCAAAAATCTTGCCACGAACCTAGGTCCTCCCGGTCAGAGGGACTGCAGTGACATTAGTTAATGCCCTGAGCTATCCCTCCTCGGTGCTCCTCGACGGAAAATAATAGTTTTGGAAGGGTAGTATGGGGTTGATAGTCGGTGCTAGACGCAACACATTCGATATCTGAAATTTGATTTCCCGGTTTTCGTGTACAGGGTGGATCGTGAGTCCCGCATTAATGGCACTACCTCCCATCAAGGAGAGCACAGTGGCTAATCACGAGTGCTAGTGGCTGCTACCGCGACGTCTAAGCAGAATCGCCGATCCGAACAGCGAACAGACACACGTGACAAGGAAGCGGCAATCAATATTTTACAAAGTTCAGTTAATATTCAACTTTACTTTTGCAATTACTGTCTTACAATCTAACTTAATAAAATTTACTACTAACACTAACCTACATTTGAAGATGGGCCTCACAAAGCACCTCAATTGATTTATTCTAGATTTGTGCTTTGCTTGATCAATTGCAGTCGCAGTTGTGTGCGAGCAAATATTATTGAGAGATTATTATTGAGATGTGCAATATGGTGAGTGATTGGTTTGATGTTTAGTTCGGTGTGTCGTTTCTTGTTGGAGATGAACCAGGGAGCTTGGGTGATGGATCTTAAGAATTTGTTTTGGGTGACTTGAAATTTTTGTATGTTATATTTGGCAGCATTTGTGCGCATTGGTCAGGCGTACAGGAGGATGGGTCAAGCGGTAATCAATGCAGGATACCAACAGTGTATTTCAGAGGTCAGGGCAACGCAATTTGATTCCGTTAGGGTACTGAAGATCGACAACACTGCTTTTCCTATATATTAATTAACTAATTAATTAATTTAACCTCCAAAACAGTCAAAAACTGTATGGACGTATGGGGGAGAAGTGGCCTTTTTGTACGTTTTTGTGCTCTGGAAAACCTACATTCCCTCTCATAGTACTGAATAAAATTGAAGTTCTTATTTCCAAACTCGCGTATCTCCATCTCAGGTTATTTTCTAGTTTAACGTATCAATAATTTTTTAAGACGCTTCTCCATGTTGCCAAATATTGTGTCAATATTGCGTTTCTCCGAAAACCGTTTAACCCTATCTTGAACTACAAGCTGAATGTGAATACTTTCCCTTTCCTGAAATATTGTGTTTTTGGAGATCCGTAACTTTGGAAATACGCTCTTTATTTATGAATACAAGTATGACAATGGTATTTATGACAATAGTTTTTTGCAAAACTTGAAAATAAATTTTCGTTCCCATGTAATAAAAACTACTTGCACAGACAATTGAGCTGCAGGTTTTGCTTTTATCCCTTATCGTTTCCCACGTGAAGGATGCGATTCACCCCCGTGAGGACATTAGGCTTTTTGATGGGACTATACAAGAAATAAATACCACAAAGTCTCCCACAGAACTCTAGGGAATGTGCGCAGTATTGAAGCTCCATTTACTGTTCAGAAGCAAGGCGAGGAGTCCGTCTCCGTCTCGCCCGTCCGCTTTTGGTCAATGAATAAGTGAAACTGGACGAAATCAGAGTGTCACATGCAATCGGCATTGCGAACTTCACTGTGGACTCACTAATACTTGAAATGCGTCCTATATGGTTGGCCAACTCTACTGTGCATCGGCATCCCTTCCAGTTGATTCGATCAAGTGGCAGTGCACGGAGTGGCACAGACTGCGACTTTAAGCTGTCAAAAAGATACTACAGCTGGCGGTGAGTCCATATTAGTGTAAGTCCTGCATGGTTTAGGTAATCTAGTCATTTTGAACTAGGCTGATCATAGCTACGTTTAGCTAGTTGGTGACCGTCCTCAAATATTCATCGTATTCGTGTAATCTTACAAGGGTGTTGTTTTCCAGAATGACAACAACGTATGCTATCGCGCCACAATTGTTAGCGATTGGTTTGAAGAGAATACTGGGCAATTCCAACTTCTGATTGGCCACCTACCTAAGCACATATGGATTTCTAGTTGCTTGAATTGTGATTTCTACATTTTAAAATGTTCAAATCCAATAAATTGGAAAATAAAAAGTTCCAAAGAGAATACGTAGGATTTATTCAGACTACTGTCGATGTGAATATTTTTTTATTCGACATTTGCACAGATATGCGCTCTAGTTTCGTCATGTACTGATTATCATCACTGGTTTCTAACGTCCCCAGCTGAAGAAAATTGCGAGTTCGCACCTTGCAATTAATATCTAGTGTATGGGCCAAAATTACCTTTATTAAGACTCCAGTACCTTAGTCTTTTGGGTCATATCCGAGATGAATGGTCTGATGTCGGAGTGATGATAATGATACCATCTTAATTACGGAACAATGGTGGAATGAGAGGTACGGGAAAAAAGAGAACGTTGCGAAAATCTGACGCAAACACGCTCTGTCCACCACAAATATCCAGCGAATCGACCTGGATTTGGAGCATGGTACGCAGAGGCGGAAGGTGAGCGGTCTGACAGATTCACACTGGGACGTCCTTCCTTCGTCTCTTCAGAGGGAAAAACAAGACATTTGCCTAAAAATGCGAGGTCTAGTGATAACCGCTCTCGCGCTCCTTTCGGCAGCCGGCACCCACGCCGGCGCCGCAAAGAAAAGTGAAGCGGGGGGCGAGCGCCTGGCGCCGTCGAGACAAGAGGGAAAGTTGCGCCGCGCCGCCTCCGCCAGTCCTATGACTGCTCCGCCGCGCCCGCGCCCGCCCGCGCCCGCGGCGGAGCCTTGCGACACTTCCGATACGTGCACTCAATCCGTTGACTTCTTGTCACGACGCAGTATAAAGTGATTGTGACGTATAGGGGATAAGTATAATATGCGCACGTTTTCTTCAGTTCCAGTATCTCTATCCTCTCTTTTACTATGGAATTATGAATTAAGGCACGAACAAATGTTTTCTTTTCAGTTTGTTGCCTCTTCGAAGCACGACTATTAGCCCTTCTTGAGGCATTCGACGTACGTGGAGTAATCCTCCGTTAACTTATTTTATATTTTTGTCTCATCAGTTAGTGCCTTTTATCCCTTCCGCCAGGAACTCGCCGCTCCTAATAACCAGGGATCCCAGGCGGCCAACCGTCCAGGAATCCGTGGTGTCTCGAACTTCCGAGACCACGGAGCGCAGTTAAGCAATTCGGCTAACGACACCGGCAGGAGGAATATATGCAACTTTTTGGTTTGCAATATAAGAAACCTTCCCGTGTAACAGAAAATTATTTGTACCGGCAAACAAAATATAGATTTGATTCTATTGTATTACTGACGGGATAATTCAACTCTCTCCCACTCCTTGTGCACGTCAAATACCAATCTTTCTTCTTTTCAAGTTTCCAAATGAGCTCTAAACCATCTCCGTAGAAGGTATGAAGGCTTCAAAACTTGTAGCAAACGTTGGACTCTTAACGTTTACATAATAAGATATTTTAATATTCAATATTTGCATTGCAAAGGTTGCAGTTTATTTCAGAATAACTTACGGGTCCCATAATTTCATTATTGTTCGTATCCGGTAAGATATTAATTCGACCCTTGGTACACCGACTGAGCTGTCGATTTCGAGCGCGTGAGATGCCGGGGCAGGGCAGCGTCTCAGGGTTCACCGCTGGAGAATCTATCGTCACCACGGGGACGGTACATTGTTACTACTACTTCTGGGTTGTTTCTCCTTCCGCGTGAGGCTCGTGACGTCATGATCAGTGCTTACGCCTTCCATTGAGGGACCTGGGTTCGACCCCGGACAATCCATATCGAACTCTCAGTGGACAAAGCGAACGCTGCGCAAGTTCTCCCGTTTCTCCTGCCTCTGACTCCACCACTGCTCCATCACCTCATCATCATTATTGTTATAATCTGCTGATTACATCATCACTTGTGGGCTTCAATGACCTGAACGAGCAGTTGAAGGGCCCTAAATAAATAAATATTTTTTCTTGAAATGGCACTGCGGTCCAGGGCGAGTAATTGTCTGACGTCCGTCTTTTCGTAGTGAGTGCGGAGGCCATATTATCGTGGCAAATCGGGATGTGAGATCCATTCCACCATCCCATTCTTAGGGGTGAGGATAGAACAGAAAGAAAAAATCCTTGTCCCGTTCTTTAAGATACTACTCCAGCATCCGCCAACTATTCAGCGAAGGAATTTACCAAACAACCCATCACCTAAAGGTAGCGTAATAAATTTAGTGTCCATGGGTACGATAAACTCGTCAAAATGCAATAAAAATTACATTAAAAAATTAAAAACTACCAACTGGTGTCAATCGGCCTCGTTCTCTCTTACTAGGAATAATTGATATACCGTGTTTCCGAGCGCGTCAATTAGTTCCGTTACGCGCGGTTATTACTTCCGTAAGTGATGTCCATGTTTTTATCAATGGAGATGAAGATGATCTTTCCCAGCTGGATGGCGAGATCCGGCGCAGTCCTACACGTCGGCCTGTGGAGTTTTTCCCAACCAGGTACCTCCCAAGTGCGGGGGACCACCTCAGACGGGATAAGCTCTTACGCCCCGACTGATCTCCCTAGAAGTGTAGTAGTGTACTGCATGTAAGTGTGTGTGTGTGTGTGTGTGTGTGTGTGTGTGTGTGCGTAAGAAAGGGGTTAAGACAATGAAGAGGAAGAAAAGATCGCATGCGATTCAAGGCCCGTTTGTTAGGCACCGCTTCGGCATTCGCTTAGTGCTGATCAGTTAAAACACGGAAACTATCGATAAGAACGGCCGGTCGCGGGTCTCCTACGTTTTTTACTGAGGTTTTGATAGGAATGGCTGAAAAACTACTAGTACACAATATACACTATGCCGTAAATACAAAGCTGTTCTTACAACATAGTCCGTAAATTCAAACTTGAGAGGTAACTGAGAAAAGATATGTTAATAAATGATTTCTTCTTGTCCTCTCATATCAACGTAAAGCCGCATATTCAAAAGCAACGTAGCTATTGCGTCTGCTGCGCAACTGACTGGGAGATCCTAGGATTCGAGTCCCGACAGTGATAGATTTTTGATACTAGTTCTTTGCCTAGAGAAGAATTCTAGCCTTGATCGGTAGTTTTGCATGGTTTCTCCGATCAATACCAGGGGAATCTCCGAGAAGTACCCTAAACAAACGCGCCAAGTATTGCACTATCCTTGGTCCGTTCCTTCATCCTCATCCCTGATCCTTGTCTCTCCCTTCCCCTTACATACACTCTCATATGCACATTACTAGCACACATGTTGGGAGACTATTCGCAAGTTAAGAGTATGTTCCAGGTGGGGTTGTGCCGCGTTGGGTGATACCTGGAGTGGAAAACCCACAAGCCGACATGCACGAGGGCGCTGGTTCTCGCGCGGAGGAACACTGCCTCCACCCGGGATATAACATGCACTACACATGCGGGACTAATGAGCACAATAGTTGATGCGGCTGGGAACCCACCCAGAAAATCAATCATTATACGCCTCACAGGGTTTTTAACTATTATTTATTTTATTTATATATTTACGTCAAAACAGTTTAGGGGAGAGGTAAATTTGAAGTCACATGCTACTGTTTGTGACTGTTGAAGCTACTGTTTTGACGTTGAATAATAAATAAGGAAATTAAAATATAGAAATCATATTAAGTTTCCAAAAGTTTTTCTGATGTCTCAATTGAAATAAGCATTATTTGGAAACACATTATTCGGAAACTCTCATAAGTAATTAAGTAGTCCAAATAGTCAGATTTTGAGGTCGCTAACACAATGCTTAGAGTAGATATGAAGATATAGTGATATCAACTCTGATATAGATATGATTCATTTTAGTATCTCACAAATTTAGGATATCAATAGGATAAAATTTGATTGAAATATTAAAATAGTTATCAGTACATCAGATGGTGTTATCTTTGATGAAAATCGAATCAAGGACAACTTTATCGTATATAATCTGCGACTACGGTGGATAGTGCAAATGCGATGAATTACATGTAAGTCCGGAATGAAGCTACTAAGCTGCTTCGTATTTTCTAGATTCTAGCTGGGTTGATGTTATTTCTGTTACTCTACATTCAATGATCATATTGTCCAGTTCCTGTGGCATCCCTCTCAAGTATTCTTACAGTTTCAAGACTGATAGAAATATCAGTCTAAACTACACACCCCTGCAATATACAATACTGTTCATTACAAAGGCATTGAAGTCAATTAACGTAAACCCATACTGTACTTTTTTTTATTCACAAGGCGGTGTAAAATTACGTGATAATTTTATCTTTGCAGATTAGAAAACGCACTAATTACTTTTAAGGATACGGAGTTTTTAAGTTGATAAATGCGGAATTTACTTTTATGATGCTGCAAACTTCCTGACGATACACAAATTTCTTAATCTCAAAATCAAAAAATATATTTCAAACTTTCTATTTTAATCAATTATTCTATTATAATTGTGATTAAAATATTCTACCATGACCATGTCTTGGGTCGACCATATCTATAAATCGTTAGACACTTGGGCGAAATGAGCTTCTCCCATTCGAAAAAAAACACCACATTAGCGTCTACACACGCAGTCGAAAAGTCAGGGCCAAGTCACCACTAACGATAAATGGCACCCCATGGGTATTTTTAAAACTACCTGTCAAAACTATATCCTTCCGATATTGTGAATGAGACGAGAAACCAACGAATATGAGGACACCGTACTTTTGTTGGTCTCTGACGGCGGAAAATTTAAAAATGCCTAAAAATAGAGCCCGTGTTGGAGATCGACATTGGACGGGCACGGGCAATAGATAACGATAGCATTTCTACGGCTATCGAGCAGAGAGCATTAGTTCCCTCTGCCCCATTAACAGAAAGCTTAGTGAAGTGTGAAGCAATGGCATGCTCCGGTAGTCATCTGAAAAAATTATCTCAATTGGTCTGTTGTTTGATAAGGATCCGCATGCGGCAATGAAATTAAAAAGATTAGAGATTAAAAAGCATACAAAATTCAGTTCAAGCCACTTTCTCGAAACCCAGGAGAACATTTCCGCCTAAAAATGCATTTGACACCTACCCAGAATTATGAGCACTCTTTAACAAAATAATTTGTATGTATATTTTTGAAAATTATTTTCATTGTATTACTTTTTGTGCGCTTTACTAAACGTATTTATTATATTTTGCGTATTAAGCCAAAAAATACGATAGGAATACTTGGATTTGGGCCGCAAAACTATATTATTATTATTATTATTATTATTATTATTATTATTATTATTATTATTATTATTATTATAATTATTTAAAAAATACACCCAGAAACTGAATATTTACGAAATTAAAACTTCTTCTGTGCGAGAATAACAGCCGTCTTTCCAGTTTTTTTTCGGTAATTTTCCCATATTGTTAATTTTTATCTCTATGAAAATAATTGATTTCCCCCCTCAGGGGCCAGGTTCAAGCTGTTGTCAAGGCAGTTGTAGCGTAGTTAAGTCATTACGTGTCATGTCTGTTCTATGTAAGGATCTAACTAGACATCCAGCAATGTAAATATCCTGAGACAATTCCCATTCTAATCAGTTCGCATAACCGCTGAGCTACGGAATGGCGCAAGGAGAGGAGGAATATGGCAGACTGTCAATGTTCTGACGACGAATACTAGAGACACAATTATCTGGGAGCGTCGGGAGCCCACCGCGCAGGCCAATGAGCAATCCCTAACAATACAGTTCATATATGGGGAGGGCCAATGAATACGTTTCCAGAACGACAACATTGGTCGAGACAACAACAATAACAAGAAACTTTTGAACAATGTTGAAGGAGGTTAGTTGTGAGTAACTTTCTATATTTCTTTTGTTCCTATACAGAACGAATTCTACGACGTTGCTCTCGAATTTGAGTTGAGATGAACTTCCGAAGCTGGAGAAGTGATACTATTAAAATTGGACTGACACGTGTTAAAACATTTCGGTCCTGCTATAGTCTCTCATAGTAATTACTTCTGTTTTCTACATAAAGGACAGCTTCCCGCGGAAGCCACCGGTTTACCTGAGACTTGAAGCCGACATCACTCGCTAATATCCACGCGGCAGAATGCACAAGCCGTCCTCGTCCATTGAAGAAAGCAGGGGCTGGAAGCAATTGGTTCTGTTGCAAGGCAAATGAAGGGAAAGCGGTGGCGGCGGCGAACGAACGTACGAAGAGGGTCCCCGCCGGCAGAGCCAGTGAGAGGGGAGGG